AGCACATGACCCGGGCAATTAGAGGAACCAGAATTCTCTGGGGAGCACCTGCTGCTGTCCAAGCAGGTGACCCTGGGCACATTAGTTCACCTCATGTGCCTCAGTTTCCCCTTATGGATAGCACCTATTTCATGTGGAGAGCACTGAATGAGACAAAGCACATCAAGATTCTAGGACATTGCCTTGTTCATAGTATGTAGTCAAAAATAAACATGAGTGGCTGCTGTCATTACTGTTATTATGGGGGATGTTAGAATTGAGCAGGTGTGCTTATTTCACCTATGACAGCTACAACAAAAGAAAGAAGAGTCCAGTCCTCTTCATTTTGAAGCAAAAACAAAAATTTCCATTCCTTCTATGTATCAATGTAACAAGTGCTGGCAAATTCATTGAACCAAACTATCTGTGTATGTGTAAATTATCACCACTCTCAGGGATATTAGGATCTAGCTAAAACCCTCACACATTAAAAGTGAACAAAAAGAGAAGAGTCAGCGTACTGTTAAGTCATTCGGCAGGGTAAGAAAGGCTATAGAGTAGTGAGATCAATTTAACAAATTTAACCGGAACTTATATATCCAACGTCTCTTCCATTTTTCTTCAAGAGAAATTGCTCCTGCTTTTAAAAAAAGAAAAAAAAAAGTTTTGAAATTTGCTCTCACGTCCACTGGGTGGGAGGATAAAAATCAATAGGATTTGGCAATGTCCAGTAAGATGCAAAGTCAATAGACTCCTTGTTCTTTCACCTGTTGAGTTTGAAGCAACAATGAGCCATTCAAGCAGACATGACTGATACCTGCTAGAAAAACCCCCATCAGAATTCAGAAAGAGAGTTACTAAAGCACTCACCCAGTGCTATATGCGTCTGACCTGCGATTCAAGATGATCCAGTGTGGAGTAATTTTAGACAGGTTGATCAAAATAGATCCTGAAAACTTTTTCTTAGGAAAGTCATGAGTTTTCTAAAGAAGGCATAATGATATGTAGGCATGGGTTTTCATATATTTTTCATATATTCTAAAATGTTCTCTTTTGTTTTATATCTGAAATTGATCTGCATCATACAATTGATAATTGGTCTTATATTGAATGCAATATGATAGCTTGGGAGTTTAAAGGAATTCTCCAGAGAGAGGCAAAGGAACTAGAGGGTTCTATCTCACCTATGGGCACGGACACAATTATTTCCAAGAAAGATGAGCCATGGCTCCACTGACAAGTGTGATGGAGAGTGGACTTGCTCAGAAGGGCATTCCTGGGAGCAGGAAGCGTATACATTTTGAGCTGGCTTTGATCTCCAGCTTCTAGCAACACTTTTCTTGCTTTGTCTTTATAGTTCCAAACCTTGGTCCCTTTGGAGAAACCAAGACAAGTTGCAACCAACCATATGGACCAAGCAAGTTCAAGTTTCACCAGATTTAGGGAGTTTCTTTCCCCACTAATATAGTAAAGGAGTTCAGAATATGTTTTAAGTTAAAGGGAACCAACCAAAAAAAAGAGAGAGAGAGAATCAAACAGATGCAAGAAGAGGCCTTTTGTTTTGTTTTTCTGAACTCTTTTATCTGCCTAAAGCAGTGACTCCCAAAAGAATTCAACTGCCAGAAATTCCCTCAAGGCATTTTGATACCAGGGAAGATTGACTCCTGTCACCAAAAGCAAGAAGTCAGCACCAGGATAATAATCACCTAAAAGGACACTGTCCCCAAATGATCACATCTCCCATCTATCTCCTAAAGGCCTGCTTATTTTTTCTAGAAGTTATTTTCCATAAGTGTCCCTTCTCCTTCTCCTTAGCCTTACTCAGATAGTATGGGAGCATCAAATTCAAATTGTCTCTCGGAGTCAAATCTTTCTGGAATGTGGACTTATTCTGTGAATTAAAATGTCTTTTCTCTTGCTACATCTGTTGGTTTAACTCAAATCCCCCAAATACTGAACCTATGAGGGTAGCAGAAAACTTTTTCCTCCCTGACAACAGGAAAAATTGCTTTAGTAAAGATAAATGGCTTAGAGGAAAGGGGAAATGAGGGGGGACCAAGCAAACAACGAAAATGTCCACTTGCACTGAGAAACAAGTTTATCCTAAAAGACTGAAATAGTTTGCTGAAGGACAGACCCCAGAATGAAAGTGACTACATCTTTCACAAACTGAGCATAAGGAATGGTGGCTATCCAGCTGAGGCAATGGGGGGGTCTCAAAATTCAGAGCTTGTGTTGGGGTTCATACACACACTGCCCCAGGTACTGGAGAAAGTAACTTAATGGACCGCAGGAGACCAGGAGCTGAGCAGGCATGAGGCAGACATTTGTTTTACTTCACTCTTCTCCAAGGTCCTCTATAGATCCTGCCCTGTGGGTGCTTATGATTTGAGACAAGACCCACTTGGAAGGTGAACCAAAGGAAGCGGATCACAGGAACCCACTCCAGTTGGCCCAGACCGTGCCCGGACACCCACAGCAACCTGAGCTTCCTGCCTCTGTCCTTGCTCCCTTCTCCCCAGCACAGGCTTGCTTGTTGACTGAACTCTCACACATACATTCATTTCTGTTCTCTTTGCCATATGAAAAAGTCCTCCTGACCTGCAGCGTGTTGAACTTGTACTTCTTTTCTGCCTTCCCACCCCATCCTCCCTCCTGGCTTCTATTTACAAATTTCATTGCAGCAAAGACAGCTCTCTCTCCAGATTTCACACCTCAGCACAGGCAGGTACCATTCCTCAACTGAACCACCCTCTGCCTTTCAGCCTTTCATCTGAGTTTCCCTCCTTTTCTCTTTTAAACTTACCAGTTCTCATCACCTGGGTTCATTCCCCCCCGCCCCCCGGTTCCAGCCTCCTGTCTTTATTAGATTTCAGTATTTACAGCCATTTCTAGTCAGATGTGCAGTCGTTCAATATGAACAGAACACGGGTTTTGTGTGGTTCCTCTGGTCTGTGTTTGGCTCATAAAGTTGGTGTGCTCAGATTCATGTCTGCACCACCATCAGTGCTCTGCTGTGGCCAGCAGCTCAGAGAGATTTGCTCTCTTCCCTCTTTTCCTGGCCATGAGTTCACCTCTCTGCTCTCCTTCACAGCAACTATCTTCAAGGATATCCTCACAGCATTTCACATGCCACTCAAAAAACAGCTCGCTTGCATCTGGTCAAATGTGATCCTGTGCCCATATTTATGCCTTCTCTAGTTGTGCATTTTTGTTTCCCCTGACAGATCCCTTGAATCTGGTTAGCTTCCACCCAGGCACAAAGGTTGAGATCAGGAGAGGAGGGGATGGTGAGAGGCTCTGAATCCTAAACCTGTAGGTGCTGTAGGTGTCCACCACTAGGTGGTGATGGGAATCAAACATTCCTCTGACTTTCCATGCTTCAGCTTCCTTCTCTTTTCAACAGAGATGCTTTGCTTGGGAAAAACATTGGCTGTGAGCCGGGACTATGATCAGAAGAACCCCAGTAAGAGCAGTGGCATCTCTGTTACTTCATTTCTTTGGAGTGCATTACTCCCACATATAAAAAAGAGGAGGTTAAAGTAGTTTTACGTGTAGTCCCCATGGGTCCTGGGATCTTTTTTGGAATGAAAGTGGCCAAACTATTTGCATAACAATGTTCAGGGCTAATTCTCTTTTCACTCTCATTCTCTCAGTACTCAGCTGGAGTTTTCCAGATACTACAGCATAAACTATGTCACTCCTCTAATGACTTTAAGGGGTTTATTAGTTATTTTTAAATGAATAGATTTTCCATATTTTGTTTAATTTTTTAAGAAGCAAACATCAATCCATCTATCCGTATCTTCATGTACAGTAGAACCTCTGTAAGTTGACCACCCAAGGCAAAAGCACATGTAGTGAGAAGAAGATGGAGTTGTTCAGGCTAGGACTGAGATGACACAACTGGTCTGGTCACTTTAGGTCCCATGTGACCTTCACCTCATGTCTCCCATTCTTGCTGTTGTGTAAATTCAGCTTTAAACTACAAGTGTATTATCTTGAGTAGTTTAGGACAATTGATTTGGGAAATTAATTTTTGAATTGGAATGTTGTTTTGGGCCATGGGTAATGCTGATTATTATTTTGTTTATTATTAGTCATGGGTTATGCCGATTATTGTTCTTTAAGATAAAGATTAACATGCTTTTTACTTTGAACTTTTATATAAAACTGTGATTTTGGAAATGAAAGAACAGAACAGGTTAGAGAGGCTACTCTTCACGGTTCTCCAGAATCGCTGGCCTTCTGACATTTAGTGGACCTATTCTCATCTCTGCATATTGGCTGACAGTGACAGGTGGCCAGACCCTCTTTGTCTGGTAACAAAGGGACTATAACAAACTGGTCAACATATTGAGGTGGTCAACATCAGGCACTAGGCCTACTATACCGATATGTACAAGAGGTGAAAATCTGATCTATGAAAATGTGGTCAATGTAAGGAAGTGGTTAATGTAGGGAGGTGGTGGGCTAAGAAGGTTGTAAGGTATCTCCTACACAAACAAAAAGTCTTTAAGGTCCTAATGATTTTTATGTGTAAAGGAGTCCTGAAACCAAGTAGTTTGAGAAGCAGTGAACCAGACTTATAGATCTTCTAGGTCATTCATTTACTCACAACAAATAATTAAGCCTCCTAAGACCAGTTATTTTTTAGATAACAGAGAGGATAAGAACACGGTCCCTGCTCTGATAGTTTTACATTTGGGGAGAGAAGAAACAATGAATTAACAAGCCATTGTGAGTGTGGCAAGTTTAATACAGGCACAACACGATCCGTTCGCCTGTTCCGACATGAGCAACACTCTACACCGCAGCAGCCCCGTTTCAGCCGCCCGAAAAGGTTACCGGGCTACTCCAGTGTGGGGCCTGCCGGCTCTCAGTCCCCGCCCCCCGGCGCTGGCGTAAGGTGACGTCACTAGGCCGCGCCAGCCAATCGCCGGCGGTCCGGGTCTAGTAGCGGCGG